TCTTTCTGTTGTGCCTTTTGCAATCGGATATGTCTGTCACGTATTGGCCTCATAAGCCACCAGTGTGCCTGTAGCAAATGTGGATAGAGCCTTCCCAAATCTTCGTTCGTGAAGCCTAGCCATGAGTTCTTCAGTGACTACGCATCCTTTAAAAAGCAGGCTTATATCACTATTCCTGTTTATGAGAAGGGAAGGAGGAAAAGTGAAATGGCACAGTGACTTGTCTGACACAAGAGCATTGCCGGCAGTGGATACTGTATCTTCACTGATGTGGAAAGCATCTAGCTGTGGGTTGGATTGCCATTAGGGACATGGGGTAAGACTGTGTCTTTTGGCCATGTAGATATTTTACGATTATTTTAAGCATAAAGCAAACTACAACCCTTGTCTACAACCATAAAGCAAACTACAACCCTGCTGTTTACAGCAGACCATTGTTTTACATATGACAGTAAGTTACATCACTTGCAATTTGTGAAGACAACTCTTCAGTGTTTTGCTTTGATTACAGACAATAGGGTCAAAACACCACAAGTAAAAAAAAAAAAAGAAAGTGGTATCAGTCAGGCTTGGAAAGAAAAGCTTCAGGCTTGGAAAGCTTTTTTCCTCTATATGATTTTAATTAATCTTAGAAATGCACCAGTTGAACTGCAAATTATTTTCAAAAATCTTCGAACCCTGTGAACTCACCCTCCGTGAGGATGTTGAGGCACTGGAACAGTTTGTCCAGAGAAGTTGTGGATGCCCCACCCCTGGAATTGTCCAAGGCCAGGTTGGATGGGGCTTTGAGCAACCTGGTCTAGTGGAAGATGTCCCTGCCCGCGGCAGGGGGGTTGTTTATGATCTTTAGAGCCCCTTCCAACCCAAACCACTCTGTGATTCCATGATAAACTCCAATCGCGTGCTCCATGGGAGAGCATTTACGGTTATCTCCACGCCGCCGCGTCCAATTATTAACAAGAAGTCGACATCAAAGGCTAATTTCAACACTTTCACTGTGCATTTTGACAGCGTTGCCGCCGAAGCAGCGGCGCCCGAACCCTCACACGCAGGCGCGGCGGCCGCGCCGGGCGGCGGGAGCAGGAGGCGGGTCCGCGGGCTCGTCCCGGCGCCTGCGCTGCGGCGGGAGCCGAGACGGCGGGTGAGTGTCGGCTTCTGCTGCGGCTCCGGCTCCGCCCGCGGCCGCCATTTCGGGGCGCCGTGAGGGGGCTGCGCCGTCCGGCCATCGCTCGGGACGGGCGCAGCTCGCAGGACCGCGCAGCCCCGGAGCGTGGCGGGGCGTGCTCGCCGGGTGTTTCCTCGATTGCTAGGCTGTATCTCAGCAAGAAGCTTGGATTTTGTAAAGAAAAAAAAAATCAAAAAAATAGCCATAATAATTTTTGCGTTAATTTTTCCTTTTGCTAGGCTGTTTACCTCAGAAAAGATGGCAGATCCCTGGCAAGAATGTATGGATTATGCAGTTGGTTTAGCAAGGAAAGCTGGGGAGGTATGTATTAACTCTTTATAAATATTAGCATTATTTATTGAGTCTAGTATGTATGTCGGTTTTTGAAGGAGGTTGATGTAGAAATTTCTTCTAAAGAGTGTTTTGTCGAAAACATAAATTAGCAGAATCATTCATGATGTACAAGTTCAAAATTAGAGTTTTTTATGTTTGCAACTTGTTTAATTTAAAAAAACAACTTTGCAGTTTTCTGATTAAAGACTTAAGAGTAACTTCTGTTCCTTAAATCTGATTTTAAAAGTAAAATAAAATTCGGAATCGTGGTAAACAAAGATCATGTCAATTTTCCACCTTAAACTTCTGCTATCTACCTTATTTTACCACTTGAAAGCTGATGACGGTCTTTCTTGTGGCCTCTTGTTGGGAGACAATACCATACTGTGTTCTCTCCGTCCCTGTAAGTGTCCAAGGCCAGGTTGGATGGAGCTCGGAGCAATCTGGTCTAGTGGAAGGCGCCCCTGTCCGTGGCAGGGGGGTTGGAACTAGATGGTCTTTAAGGTCCCTTCCAATACAGGCCGTTCTATGATTCTGTGTTTCTCTTCATGAAGACTGCTTTGCTTGCAGTATACATCCCTTGCAGTGACGGTACTTTGCCCATTTGTGATCTAAGATGCCCTGGAACAAGAAAGAGTTTGTACATCTTGGCAGAGCCTCAGCACGAGTGGTTACCGAATGTTCAGTTCTTAGTAATTCTGCTTGGTACATTTGAATGTTGTGGCAGCCAGGCAAGATGGTGCATGTACTAATTCTGTCCCCTGGAGCTGCAGAATCTGGAGAAAATTGTCTGTGCA